GTAAATTTGCACTGTTCTAAAGATAAACATAAACCAAAGTTGTTTAATACATTATTACTATTTATAAAGTTGTGACTAAGAAACGGATATTCTTGACCACTATCTTTCAGAGTAAACTAATTTAAACGCTGTTTTTTTTCTTTCTATTTTTTATTTTTTTTTTTTTTTTTTTTTTTTTTTGTGAGGAAGATCAGCCCTGAGCTAACATCCATGCCAATCCTCCTCTTTTTGCTGAGGAAGACTGGCCCTGAGCTAACATCCATGCCAATCTTCCTCCACTTTATGTGGGACGCTACCACAGCATGGCCTGACAAGAGGTACGTGGGTGCACGCCTGAGATCCGAACCCAGGCCGCCAGCATCGTAGTGCACGCACTTAACCACTAAGCCACTGGGCCGGCCCCTGTTTTTTTTTTTTTTTTTTTTTTTTTAAAAAGACAACTTCTCATACAGCACAGTCCCGGTTTACAAAATGAAGTAGGTATGCCCAAAGGCAAATTCAAGCATGGTCAAAATAATCTGAGGAAGCAGTAACTATCTGTCCCAGAGAGAACATTTTTCTTCTACGATTTCTTTACTTGTTTAGGAAGAGGCTTTTCTAGCTCTTTATCAGCAGATGCAACTTTGCCAACACTGCACATTTTTTCAGATAAGTAGTTCTGAAATCTGTTAGCCACCCTTGGCTGCCTTTGACTTTTCTGTCAGAGGCCATCCCTCTTCCGTGGGGGGGCATCTCCCTTTAATCTTAGAATTCTGCCATTGATAGATATATTCTTAGAGTTCATGTCTTCCAACCCTAACTTGAATACTTTTCAGTCTCTCTACAGTCTTATCACGTACTTGGCTAGTCACCCAGCAGTTCCCAGAGCACTCACTGCCCCAATTTCATGACTCTCACGTTGATGACATGAACACTGGACTCATACCTCTAATTGCGACTTCTTGCTAAGTCCTGCAAGGCAGTTCTTCCTGCAGTGTTGACATAGATCGTTATTTCTTCCATTAGTCATCCAATGAAGTAGGTTATGGGCCATGATGTATGAAAAATATGTATCTTTAAACACTACAATCACACATGGTGCTGTGAGATGCTCACACTGAGAGGCCCCAGAGGACTGAGACCACCTAAGAGACAGGCACACTCCAGACTCTCATCTCACACTTGCTGCTGAGTCAGATGCTCCAACATTGGGATGGCAGAAAGTGCCTACAATATTTAAACAGCTATTTTTCTCATTTCTTTTTTGTAGATCAACCATGGTTAAACTCTCATAAGGTAAATGTATGTATGCTATGACTCCATTGTATCTATTATTTTGCACAACTCTTTCCACACTGAAAGTTTCCACAAAGCCTTCCCCTAAAACAAGAAAGTAAATTGCTTGATTAACATCTGTTAGTGCCAGTGGTAAAGATATCATTTCTGCTAATCATGCCACAGTAATCCCTAAGAGGACTGTGATATGAAAACTCTGGATTGTAACAGAGAATAAAATAATAGGCAGAATGAAACCAGGGGGAACTCAAAAAAGATATTCTCAGTAGGTATCAACTGTGCTACCAGCAATAATAAAAAGATGAGTGTTTCATAACTGTTGCCATGCTTACATCTTTTATTTAATAACAAATGGAGGCAGGAATCTTTTCTTTTATATTTTATGATTTAGAACACACCACGCATTAACAGAACATCAAAAATAATGACACATGATTATAAGTTAACATGGAGTTTCTCACCCAGAGAACATTTCCTTGACAAAAAATCACTGCATTCTAATAAAGCTAAAAATCCTTGACAATGAGAGTTTGTCAATCCCCAAACCTCTATGGGGATTAACTTCTTTTCTCTTCAAGTCTAAAGCACAAGCCACATTCGTTTAGATCACAGATTTGAAACAGTACTTAACTTTTTGTTTTTTTAAAACTGGAGATGTAAACTAAAAAAAATCTCAAATCTCACATAGTTTTCCTAGCAATCCTTGAGGACTTTCTCTCCTTACCAATGTAATATTTTACTAATGAAAGGCAAACATCTAGAACAGAGGCCGTCTGTGGGTCAAATCCGGCCGGCCACCTCTATTTTTATAAAGAAAGTTTTATTGAAACACAGCCACACTCATTTCCTTACATCTTGTCTACGGCTGCTTTCCTACAAAGGCAGGGTTGTATGTATGTGACAGAGACCACATGTCCCCGAAGCTGAAAATATTTATTATCTGGCCCTTTACAGAAAAAGTTTGTCCATCTGTGACACAGAATTCATTTCCATTGCTTAGAATTTTCATCATTTGGACTGTTATCCGCTCCATTTATCAAACCTCTGAAATCTTGAAATAGAGGTCTGGTTGATTTTTTAAACTATTTCTAGGTTTTCCTTTCCAAAGGTTAATTTTTCAAGGCTCTGAGGCTTTAATTTTAATTGACAAGTTCCTGAGGTGCTACCTTCTCCACAACTCAGCCCAGGCTTACAGTAAATGAAAACTACAGACTCACGTGCACCTATTCACCATTCAACAGAAATGTATCGAGAGGGTCAAAAGGTACACACTTCCAGTTATAAAATAAATAGTCCTGGGGGTGTAACGTACAGCATGGTGACTAGAGTTAACAATACTGTATTGTATATTTGAAAGCTGCTGAGAGAGTAGATCTTAAAAGTTCTGATCACAAGAAAAAAAACTGTAACTACATGAGGTGATGAATGTTGAATAAATTTATTGTGGCAATCATTTCACAGTAAATACACATATCAAATCACTATGTTGTACACGTAAAACTAATACAACGTTGTATATCAATTATATCTCAAAAAAACTGGAAAAAAATTTTTTAAAAAGAATAACAACGGGCCCGCCCAGTGGCACAAGCGGTTAGGTGCACGCACTCTGCTGCGGCGGCCCGGGGTTCAACAGTTCGGATCCCAGGCGCGCACCGACGCACTGCTTGTCAGGCCATGCCGTGGCGGCGTCCCATATAAAGTAGAGGAAGATGGGCACGGATGTTAGCCCAGGGCCAGTCTTCCTCAGCAAAAAGAAGAGGATTGGCAGATGTTAGCTCAGGGCTGATCTTCCTCACAAAAAAAAGAAAAAAAGAATAACAACAAATTTCAAGACAACAAAGTATTCTATTCTGGAATGACCAAGGATTATGGAGGAGAACTAGAAATAATATGTATTTTCAATGTCAAAAAATGATTAACAGAACTTTAGCTTAGCCAAAAAAATTAATAAAAGTTAAAAAACACACAACCACCAAAAATGTATTGAGTACCCGCTGTGTGAAGACATACTCTGCTGGCAGGAAGGGTAGGGTGGAATCCAAGGTGAAGAACATCCACCATCTGCGCTCTCAAGTGAGACAGACCTGCATAGACAGGGCCGAATAGCAGGAAATAAAAGTGAAATGAAACGGTCCAGGCCACGTGGGAACACAGTCAACAACTAGGGGGTGAGAGAGTGAAGGCCTGTGACGTCACTTCCAAGCTCTGCAGCCCGGGAAGGAGGGAAGAGACTGCCCACACCTTCAGCCAGACGCGGAGCTCCTGGCAGCAAACGTCAAGGCTGCTGGAGGCTAACCACGACCCCTCCTATCAGCACTGCAGACTGACACTCCCCACAGCTGGGCGCCAAGCCCTCTGTCCACTGAAGGCGAGGCGGCCAGACGCACAGACCAGACCTTCCTCTCCGAGCGGAAGAAAAGAGGAGAAAAGGCTGCTCAATTCTTCAATTGCAGCCCGAAGCGATATTCAGTCTGCCAATATCCAATCTTAATCTACATCTGTTCACTCCACATTATTTCCATGAAACTCAAACGTGAATTCTTCCCCCTTAATACACAACGTTTGGCCCAGCAGTTCCACTCTGTGGTATATACCCAAGAGTTGAAAACACAGTCCACACAAAAACGTGTACACGAATGGTCATAGCAGCATTATTCATAACAGCCCCAAAGTGGAAACCCACACATCCCTCAACTGCTGGAAAATGAAAAGGTGGTATATCCATACAACGGATTATTATTCAGCCATAAACAAGAATGAAAGAAGCCAGACACAAACGACTCCTTGTGATGATTCCACTTACAGGAAACGTCCAGAATAGGCAGAGCCATGAGACCAAGTGTAATAGGGGCTGCCGGGGGGCGGGCGGGGGGCGGCGCGAAGCGGGCAATGACTGCCTAATGGTTATGGGGTTTCTCTTTGGATGATGAAATCTTCTGGAATTAAGACAGCGGTGATGGTTGCAATAAACAAATAGCCATTGAATTCCACACTTTTAAAGCGTGAATTTCGTGGCGTATCTCAAAGCTGTGATTAAACAACAACAAAGCTGGGGTCTAAACGGCGGAGAATACAGCCCCGCGGGCCTGTCTGCCCCTTCATCTCTAAACCATAACCGCAACGGACTGCAGTCCTGGGCGACAGGCTCTTGTTCTGGCCTCTGGGTTGGCTTCCCGCCAACAAACAGGCCGCCAGCGGCCGCACGGCCAACACAACGGACGACTAAACCCCGGCGGGCGCCACTCGGCAACGCGCGACGTGACGGGCGCAGTCGGGGCGCCTCCGCCACACAGCCGGGCGCAGTTACCAGGCAACAGCGACGGCCCCGCCCCCGCCCCTAACCAATCAGGCACGTCCGCACGCAGCGCGGGAGCCACACGTAGGCCAGGCGGAGCGTGAACTCACGCGCAGCGGCACCCAGAGATCCAGAGCCTGCAGACGCCCGCCCCCCGCCCCCGCCCAACCAATCGGAGCGGCGCGGGGTGCGCGCTCCGTGCGTGCCCCCGCTGTCCCCGCGGCAGGGCTTCCCCGCCCCACCCCCACTCCTGGGCCCTTCCCGGGGAACCGGGCGCGGGGTTTCGCGGGGCCGGCGGGGAGGGGGCGCCTCCCGCCGCGCGCCTGGGCGGGCGGCCTTCCCACGCGCCCGCCTGACCAGGCCCCTCGGGCGAGAGTCGCAGGAAAGCCCTCGCTCGTAATGGCGGCGGCGGGGGGCGGATACGCACCTGAGGTCCCCGCCGGCGGGCAGCGCCCGGCCGCCCGCGGCTCCGAGGGCTGGGCACCCGGGAGCGGCCCGGGCCGAGGGCGGCGGCCGGGACGGCGAAGAGGCGGGTCGCGGCGTGTGGGCGGCGGCCGAGCCCCTGCTCTCCACTATTCCTCCTTTTTCTTTCTTTCTTTTCCCTTTTTTTTGGCTTCCTGGAAGGCAGCCTCAACTGGTGTGTCCACAGCGCCCCAAGTGGGAGTTGCCGTTTCCGGTGCTGTGCAACGCACTTCAGCCGCACACTGGATTTGTGTGCAGACTCGCAGCCACGGTCGGCAGAAGGCCAGACATGCTTATCCGTCTCCGGTCTTTGCTGAGCGGCTGGCACGTGTCTGGCTCACCCCAGACACCGCCCACAAACGTGGACGCTCTTCACTTGCTGTTACTTAATGTGATACTTCTGCATGATTGCAACTTGTAGCTTTAAAGCAGTGAGGTCACAACTCGAGTGACCGGTGAATCTGCCTTAAAGCCATGGAGTTATTTGTTATAAACTGTAACAGCGTGTCCTGACCTTTGGATGGGGTCAGTGACATCGGCAACCAATCGTGAGGTGTCCGTCAGATGGTGGTGGCACTCCAGCAAATAGTAGAAGATTACGATAGCGTTATTTATTCTAAGTTATAATTACGTATTTATTTTAAATATGTAAAAGAAGAACAGGATAGTAGAAACCGGTTACCCATTGCTCATATTTAACATAGCGTGCCTCATTGACTTAATGTTTGAGGAAATACTATAGGCACAATGGAAGGCACGGTACTCATTCCCCTCTCTTCCCCAGAGGTAACTACTGTCTTGAAGTTAATATATGTCTTCTGATACACTTTTTCTTTTGCAAAAAGACAAATGTCCCAAATTTGCTGACCTTTTTTCCTGTAAGTGGCTATCAAAGATATGCTTCCTAGCAGATGCTGTTAAAAAAATCTGTCTTTTCAAGATAAAGATAACAAGCAATTAGTTGAGAAAGTACTTGCTCTTTTGACATCATTTTAAAAAGATGTTTGAAGATATTTCCATTATATTACAATTGATTGTCCTTAGTCAGAAGAGTTATGTTCTATAAATTCTTAGCTGATGCTGCATGAGCAAGACTGAACCAGTGCTCCTTGGGGAAGGACAAGGTTAGGTTTCTGCAGCCTCTGGTTGTGACATGTTTGTGAATCTATGAATACATGACCTTGTTTTTTGTGTGTCTCTTTAAAGACACCTTATTTAATATAGATTTTTGATTTATTAGTTGAACTCCCAGCCAACAGCACTACCTGTAACTGAGGCCTGAAGGAAGCTCATCTAACACAAGGTTTTTCTATGTAAGGCCCATCACAGGCTTCTTGTGCTTAGGAAAGCTAGACAACACTTTAGTATTATGTTTGAGGGCCATTTTAAACAGCAAAATCACCAATAAAAAGCACAAAAGGTGAAAAATGTAGCATTAAGTAGACCAGGAAAAGGACATTTGTTGACGTGAGAGCTGAAACAAGAGAGTCATCTTGTTCTACCTCAGCTGGGAACGTGCGCCTCAGGCAACTCCTTTCTTGCGTCTCTGTGCATGTCTGGGAATTACTGGGGAAAGCTCCGGGAGTATTGGTTTTGAATTTACCTATTAATTTTAGTGACTAGCTGAATTCACAAATGCAAAATTAGTGAATAATGAAGATTGACTCTGTTTTGTTGCCAAAAGCAATGAGAGTATAAAACTCTCATACTTGACAACCTTCTAATCTGCTTTAAAATCTTTTATATGAGGAGTTTTCAATGTTTTGAACCATTTGTTTACAATGTCAAAATAAGCATCTTCTGATTGGTTTCAAAGAACAACTGATTGACATCAAGAAGAGTTGTGTATGCTCACTATCTCTAATTTCTCTCCTCTCATTCTCTCTTGAACCCACTCCAGTTAACTCCACTACACTTGAACTGTTTATTCCAAGGTCCCAAGTGACCTCCACGTTGCTAAATCCTATAGTCTTTTTCAGTCCGTGAACTACCCGATCTCTCAGCATTTGACATAAACAGTCACTCTGCCCTTTTTGAAACACTTCTGGATTTCTCAGACGCCACACTGTTGTTCTGCCTACTTTTCTGGTTGTTCTCCTCAGTCTGTTGTAGGTCCTTTTTCCCCAACCTTTACATGATTTAGTGACTCAGGGTTTAGGCTTGGATCTCTTTCCTGTCTGCTCTCACTGCTTAGATGACCTCATCCAGTCCCAGGACTTAACTACCACTGATATGGTTATGACTCACAACTGTAATCTGTATAACCAACTGCCTACTTTGAGTTCTTCACTTGGAGGAAGAACAGGCATCTTAAGCAGGACAAGGCCCACCCCTTTCCCCAGTTCCTCCTGAAGTCTTCCCTTTCTCATTTAATGAAACTCCATTCTTCTAGTTACTCAGGCCAAAAATCTGAAGCATCCTTTACTTCTCTCACACCCCACACTAATTCTTCAGACACCCCAGTCAGTTCTAACTGTACCCAGGTTCTGCCACTGTTTGACCATCACCACACTGGTCCAAGCCAATATCGTCTCTTGCAGTAGACTCCTAATTTGTCTCCCAGTTCTGCCCTTGCCTCTCCTCAGACTATTCTTAACATAGCAACCAGAAGAATTCTGTAACTTGTAACTCATTTCACTCTGCTCGAAGCTGTCCAATATCTCTCCATCTCAGAGGAATAGTAAAGGTCCGGACTTACACTTCTGGCCAAGATGAAGTAACAAGGATTGGATTTATCTTCTCACCTGAAACAACTAAAAAACAGGCAAAATACATGATAATAAGGGAAAATTATGAGCAAGTTTTTGGCACTAAATTTGCCAGTTTAAGTGAAATGGACAAATTCCTTGGAAGACACAAATTACCAAAGCTCACTCCAGAGAAGCAGATCACGTGAATAGTCCTATATCCATTAAATAAATTGAAATTTAGTAAAAAAAATCCTTCCCACAAGGAAAATTCTAGGCCCAGATAGCTTAACTGGTGATTTCTACCAAACATTTAAGGCTAAAAGAAATCTATACAAACTGTGCCCAGAAGTTGAAGAGGAAGAAATACTTTCTAACTCATTCCGTGAGGCCAGCATTGTCATGATACCAATACCAGAAAAAGCATTCCAAGAAAGGAAAAGCACAGACCAATATCATTCATTAATATAGGTGTAAAAATTCTCAATAAAATTTTTTCAGTTTTTAAAAATTGTGGAAAAATACACATAACATAAAATTTACCATCTTAACCATTTTTAAGTGTCCAGTTCAGTGGTATTAAATACCCTGGTAATGTTGTGCAACCAGCACCATCCATCGCCACAATCCTTTTCATCTTGTAAAACTGAAACTCTGTACTCATTAAACAAGAACTCCTAACTCCCCTCCCCTGCCCCCCAGCCCCGACAACCATCATTCTACTTTGTGATTTTGACTAAGTACCTCTTTACCTCATATAAGAGGAGTCATACAGTATTTGTCTTTTTATGATTGGCTTATTTCTGTAAACATCTGGTAGATCTACTTGGTTTGTTGTGGTAAGTCGTCGATTTCCTTACTTATCTTCTGTCTGGTTGTTCTATCCATTATTGTGAGTGGGTATTGAAGTCTCCAACTATTATTGTAGAACTGTCTACTTCTCCCTGCAATTCTGTCAGTTTTCGCTTCATGTATTTTGCTGGTGTGACATTAGGTGTGTAAATGTTTATAACTGTTATATCTTCTTGCTGTCTTGAACCTTTTATTAATATATAATGTTCTTCTTTGCCTCTTGGAATCTTTTTCAATTTAGAGTCTGTTTTGTCTGCTATTAGTATGGCTATTCCTGGTCTCTTCTGGTTACTATTTGCATGGAATATCTTTCTCCATCCTTTAACTTTCAATCTGTTTGTGTCTTTGGATCTAAAGTGAGTCTCTTGTAGACAGCACATAGTTGGATCATGTGTTTCTATGCATTCTGCTAATCTCTGTCTTTTGATTGGAGAGTTTAATCTGTTTACGTTTAAAGTAGTTACTGGTAAGGAGGAACTTACTTCTGTCATTGTGCTGGTTGTTTTTTATGTGCCTTAGAGCTTTTTTGTCCCTCATTTCCTGCATTACAGTTTTGGTTGTGTTTAGTTGATATTTTATAGTGAAATGTTTAAATTCCTTTCTCATTTCCTTTTGTGTATATTCTATAGCTATTTTCTGTGTGGTTACCATGGTGATTACATTTAACATCCTAAAGTTATAACACTGTAATTGAATTTATACCAGCTTAACTTCAATAGCATACAAAAACTCTGCTCCTTTACAGTTCTGTCCCCAGCCCTTTTGGTTGTTGATGCCACAAAAATAACATGTTTATACATGGTGTGCACCAAAACACAATCTAGTTTCTTTTAAATGCATTGCTCTCTTAAATTGTGTAAAAAACAAGATATGGAGTTACAAACCAAAGTTACAGTAATACTAGCTTTTAGACTAATAATTGTTTTTTTCTTTAAATATATTAGTCTCTTAAAAATCTAGAAAACAAAATGTGCAATTACAAACCATTGTTACAATAATACTAGCTTTTATAATTGCCCATGTATTTTACCTTTATTGAGATCTTTATTTCTCCGCATGGCTTCAAGTTACTGTCAAATGTTCTTTCATTTCAGCTTACAGGACTCACTTGAAGGGCAGATCTAGTCGTAATGAACTCCCTCAAAACAAAACAAAATTTTGTTTATTTTATTTTTATTATTTCTCTTGTGAGGAAGATCAGCCCTGAGCTAACATCCGATGCCAATCCTCCTCTTTTTGCCAAGGAAGATTGGCCCTGGGCTAACATCCATGCCCATCCTCCTCTACTTTATATGTGGGATATCTGCCACGGCATGGCTTGACAAGCGGTGCCTCGGTCTGCACCCGGGATCTACACCTGTGAACCCTGGGTCACCGAAGTGGAGCACGTGAACTTAACCACTATGGCACCAGGCCAGCCCCTCCTTTTGTTTATTTTTGGTAAGGGTGCCAAGACCATTCAATGGGGAAAGGACAGTCTTTTCAACAAGTGGTGCTGGGAAAACTGGATGTCCACAGGGAAAAGAAGCAAGTTGGACCGTTAACTTACAACATTTACAAAAATTGACTCAAAATGAATCAAAGACCTAAACATAGAGATAACACTATAAAACTCTTGAAGAAAATGTAGGATTTGGCATAGATAAA